CAAGTTACACTGTTCTACTTTGGTCAGTTAAGCTCTGCTGGGCCATGCCACGTCCCCCACACATGTAGCATGACGTTTTGCCACTAAATGCTGTTCTACTGTTACTGCATTAATAATAGAGGAAGGGAAAAAGACTTTGATAGGGTGGAGGAAGGAAGATATGCTTTCTGACCCTGTTTGGAAAGAGATGAAGAGTCAGGAGAATAGATGGGCTGTAGGGAAGGGGGCTGGGATAGGTGCAGCTCTGATGACCAAGCATGTGGTTTTAGAACCTGACATCCTGGCATGTCCACATTCTAGTTTTAGAGCCTTGGCTATATCCCCCAGTGTCCTGTCCTGAAAAGGATACCACCACCATTATAAAGTTATTCTGGAAGTTACTATGCACAGACTTGACAGCTGTGTTGTCTGGTACTAGTATAATAGCCACTAGCCACACAAGGCTATCTAAATTCAAATTAATTAAAATTAAATAAAATTTAAAATTCAGTTGCACTAGCCACATTTCAATGCTTGATAGCCATATGTGGCTATGGCTATCATACTGGATAGCACAACATTTCATCATCACAGATAATTCTGCAGTACTGGGCTGCCCTAAATGTTCCACCACTCTGGAGCTGCACTGCCTGGGTTCAAATCTCAGTCTGCCACTTAGTAGCTGTGTCACTTTGAATAAATGCTTTGACTATTCTGTGCCCTATATTCCTCATCTTTAATTTGGAAGTGGTTAAAAGTAATATTTCCCTCACAGAGTTGTTGTAAAAAGAACATATACTAATTATGTAAAATCATGTCTGGTACTTAGTAAGCATCCTGTAAGTGATGCAACTTTACAGTAAGGGTTACCCAAGATAAGATATGGGCAGCATCTGGCACATAGAAGAACATGAGTCAATATTTCTACCTCAGATGTGCAGACATAGAAGACAGAGGAAAACACTCTTTTTTATGCAGTACCAGAGGCCTGGTGCACTAAATTTGTACATGGGTAGGGTCCCTAGGCCTGGTTGGTGATCAGGGCCTTCCTTCCTCCCCTCTCCTGGCCCCAGCTGGGGCCTTCCTTCATTCTACACCACTCCCTGGTGGTCAGCACACATCATAGCAAGGGGTCAAACCCCCAGTCAGTAGAACTCCGGAGGGGAAATTTTGCATATTACCCTTTTCTGATTTTAAAGGAATACATGCGATCACAAAAAAAGATGAAAATAGAAATCATTCCTAATGCCACCATACCTAGATCCATACTTTTAATATTTTAGCACATGAATGAAATTGGATCATACTTCATGCGCACTTCTATATTCTTTATTGTTGTAGTAGCTTTAATTGATTATATCCTGAGCAGTTTTTATGTACATGAATACTATTTTAGAACAATATTTTAATGTTTGCATACTATTTTATTCCTTGAATGCCTTATAATTTATTTAACTCTGTTCCTATTTTTGAACACATAGGCTGTTTCCAATTTTTGCCACTATGAATAAAACTGCAGAGGATGCCCTTGAGAAAAAACTTTTTGCACCTCATTATTTCCACATGATAGATTTACTTTCCAAAAACATGTATGTCAGTTCACACTCCCATCACCATCAGTGTACGCGTTATTACTTCTTTGGCCCCCTCCTCAGCAATGAGTATTTTTATTTATTTTGACCTTTGCCATATTAATAAGAGAAAATTTCTCCTTTTATTTGATATTTCTTTGAATACTTGTGATAATGGACTTATTGTTCCATTCTGTTAACTATTTGTATTTGCATTAACAGTTGCATCTTACTGTGCTCTGTGAGGAATACTTTTGAACTTAAGAACTTGCAATCTGGAAAATTTTTAACTCAGCAGCTTGGAAGCAAGCACTTCTCAGTTGAATAGCTTATAGGTTGAAAAGTCCTTTACAAGTCCCCAGGTAAAATCTGGCAGTCGTCTGTGACTTAGGGCTGTTGGCATTGAAATATGCTCTCCTCGCTTTCAGATTTCCTGATGATAGTCGAAGAAACCTGCCTCTGGAGAGGAATTCTCTGGGCTGTGAATTCAGAGTGTACCCCTGGGGCCTGCAGCTCCCAGACCCTGTGTAGTTGCCATCCTCAAAGTAGACTCTGAAGCTAGAAATGAAGAGGGCAAAGCAGAGCTCCATTTTCCAAAACATATTACATTCTTAGGCTGTCAGAGTCTGTGATATAGGAGATTTTTATTACTCTAATTGGGTAAAAGACTATTTGAGGTCTCCAAGGAGCTACATGGAATGTCTACATCAAAAAGTACTACGTGGGATGTCTACATTAAAAATTACAACTCTAACCTTAACTAAATTTTAATAATTTCATATTAAATATTTCAATACTATAATATTATGGTATTATAATTTTTAATTGTTTTTCTTTGACTTAATTAATATAAAAAATAAAAATATAGAGAGATGATTTATTTATAGTTAGAGAAACTGTTTAATTTTCCAAAAGGATATATAAAAGCATTCAATGAAAATAGTTTTCTCACTTGTAAAATCTGAGATTTGAATCAAATGATTTCTAAGGTTCTGTTTTCTTTGATTTTATACAAAAAGAGTAATTAACAAAGAAAGTCATTTTATATTGCAATATAATGCTCAAGAGAGCAGGATTATTACAAACTGTGATTGTAAACGGTATCTTTTATAAAGAAATATTTTATGCCTATTACTCTGTTTTAGTGCTATGGAGAAATTGTTTTTTCTACAAATGTTTGTTGATTACCTACAGTGTACCAGTCCCTGCTGTGATCACTGGAGAGTCAGCAAAAAACGACACAGACAAAATCCACACCTTCAATGAGTTTACAGTCTAGAGGGGGATACAGACAATGAAAATATAAATTAATGTCAAATGGTGTTCAATTACTCAAAATATAAAAGATGATAGATGATAGGTAGATGACAAATAGTCAGATAGATAGATAGGTAGGTAAATAGATGATAGATAGATGATAGATAGATAGATAGATAGATAGATAGATAGATAGAATGAACATGAGGGAAGGAGAATGAAAAACAAGGGCTAATTTTAGCTCAGCTGGTACAGGAAGGTCTCCCTCCACAGAGGTGACATTTCTGCTGAGATCAGAATCATGAGAAGGAGAGAGCCAAGACCTGGGGCAAGAGATTCCAGGTAGAGGAAACAAGTGCAAAGTCCCTGAAATAAGGAAGAGCTCTCTGTGTTTCAAGAACCAAAAGGAGGTCATCATGGCTGAACCAAGAGGAATGGTGGTGGGAGGTGAACTTGAAGATGAAGTAGACACCATAATGTGTAGTGCCCTATAAGCTAGAGTAAGTGCCCTATAGGATTTCATTTTCTTTGTAGTATAAAACCATTCGGAGGGTTTTAATGAGATCCTAGCCTGTGCGAGTGAAACAGTCTGAGCAAGGCAATTCAATACTGAGTTGAGGGTTTCATAGAAAATCAGAGGAGAGGAGGCCCCAGTAGCTAACACATGATACCATGCAGAGCCCTGCGATCTGGGACCTGGGGTCAGTGGGAGAAAAGAGTGGAAGGTGAGGTCAGGCTGTGAGTGCCTTTCTGACCCGGTGCTAGAGGAGAAACGTGGTACCTCTGTGCTAAATAACCAGATCTCTGGACAAGCTTCTCTCACTTCTCTCACTGAATAGACATTCTCACTGGTACACATTCTCTTGAAAGTGTTTTCACAACAATTTCTGCCAAATAAATAAACAGATGATATTCTCAATCCCTGGAGTGTTGACAAAACAAGGAAGAAGAATGGGAAATATTTTTTTAAGCAGAAATATTGTCCCAGACTAGGTAAAAATCAATCCTCCTAAGGTTGTTTTTAAATTATTTATTTCAAGCAAATAAATATAAAATGACTTCTGTTTTGTTCTGCTTGAAGCAGGTGAATTTTGGATTTATACTGGTTGTTAAAGAAAATCAATATTTATATCTTTAAGAATTAGGTGTGGAAATACAGGAACAAACACAACAGAGTCCCTAAGTTTATACCTCAGATGCATAGACATCTACTCATTCCAGAAAGAAAGAAAAAAGCCTCAAAACAAAATGCAATTGCTTTGCCTAGTATATAGCATGGGCTCAATGAGATGAGTTATATTATGGTCACAGCTATTCACATCCTCCTTTATAAGAAAAGAATACAGCCGAAACCGGTTTGGCACAGTGGATAGAGCATTGGCCTGCAAACTGAAAGGTCCCAGGTTCAATTTCGGTCAAGGGCATGTACCTTGATTGTGGGCACATCCCCAATAGGGGGTGTGCAGGAGGCAGCTGATCAATGTCTCTCTTTCATCGATGTTTCTAGCTCTCTATCCCTCTCCCTTCCTCTCTGTAAAAAATCAATAAAATATGTTTAAAAAAAAGAAAGAAAAGAATACAACCTGGCCCTTTGCCATGTGACTAAAATGCCTTCCATGGGTGGGGGTATGCAACCCAGCCCATTAACTACAGGCTTGGTAATTTGACTTACTTCAGCCAATGAGAAGTCTGAGGAAATGCCACTTCCACCAGAAGCAGAAGAGGCATTGCTCATTCCCACCAGTCCTTGTTCTTGGCCTGAGCCAGGAGAGAACCACAAGTGTCAGGTAGGGCCTGCTCTCCAGCCTGAAACAAGAATGAGCAGACATGTGGCAACTCACAGTCCAGACTGACAGAAAGACCTGAAGCCACTCCACAGCCTGGAGCAGAGTCAAGGCAAGAGATAAATGTCATTGCTGTGACTTACTGAAATTTGAGGTTGTTTGTTACTCCAAAAGCTGATTAAAGCACTCAATAACTTAGTAGAATCAAAGAAAAAACAAGCTTGGAAGAAGACGAGGAATTGGTATGATCTCTTTTGCATAGCTGCTCAGATGTCAGAGATTCAAACTCACCTTTAAAGGCATTCCAAGCAAATCAAAGCAGCTGTATCTGAGATTCCACATACAATATAAATGGACTAGCAGTTATTACATTGTTAAGTAATATGGTAGGTGATCAAAAAACACTTGAGTGTTCGCTTCGGCAGCACATATATTGAAGTTGGAATAATACAGAGAAAATTAGCATGGCCCCTGCACAAGGATGATACACAAATCAGTGAAGCATTCCATATTTTTTAAAAAAATAATAATAATTGAAATGGGTTTGATCTATCAGATACTTAGTAAAGATATAACTGGGGAGATCAGTAATTTAGAAAATCAGAAACCCTGGCTTTTAAGCCGATTGTATATCTGAGTAAATTTGTCAGGCACCAACATTGTATGTTTGTCAGGTACACACATACTTACAGAGCAAGACATCTTCCCAACCACTCTGTCATGGTCCAGAAATGCCAAGCATAATACACTGCAAGCTGCAAGTACAAATCAGAATGTGATTGGACGAGAATCTGTAACATGTAAAACACTGCTGGTCGCTGAAGAACTGAAGATGTTTAGTCTGGGAAAGATAAGATTCCAAGAGATACGTCAGCTGTCTGCAAAAACTTAAAGACATTTCCCGTAAGCAGATTAGCCCTCAATTGCACGGACACTAAGAGCAAAACAGGGAACAACAGAAGAGAGTTGCCAGGACACAGATCTCAATTCAATTTGCTAGAATGTTTTGTTAGGGATGGGCACACCCTGAGATTCACACACACCTGACCTGTATCTGACCACCAGTGTAAAGTCAGAGTGACTGACAGGCCAGCACATCCACTGTGAGGGCAACACAGGCAAAGACAGAGCCTTATCGGGCAAGCTCGCAAGAACTAGAAGAGCAAGAGAAGCAAGGACCTCAGCAGAGCCTCTGCCGTCAAAGACTCCGGCTGAGGGAGCCACAGGCATGAAGGTCAGAAGAGGTTCATGCTTATAGGGATACAGTGGTGACTATAAGTGAACCCAGCCACCCAATGGTGTGTGTGCATCTTGGGCAGAAAAGTCAAGAGTATAAAAGAATGAGAGGAGATATAACCCCCAAAGGCCCAAGCCAATCTGCTGAGATGCCCCTTTAGATATAACACAGGGAGGGAGAAAGCCACTCAGCAAACGTGAGAAGGGTGAGCACAAGTCCCAGGCAGTGAAAGTACCATGGTGTTCAGTCTGCAGCCAGAAGATACTCAGGGGAGTTTTGGCAAAGAAAAGCCCTGGATGAAGACTGAGCAGCAGTCCAGGGGTCCTCTGAGAGCTGCCTGTGGAGGTGGAGGGGGCAGGAGAGGGTGTCAGCAGCAGGGGACCAAGAGACCTGGTCAGGTGCCAGAGCAGAGTAGTCTGAGCTAACGCTCCCATAGCGCTCACACAGGCTGTGCCGGGCACTAAGCTGACAGCTTCACACGGATTACTTCCTTTGCTCCTTTCCACCACCTGTGAGCTAAGTACCCTTATTATCCCATCTCATAGATGGCAAAACTGGAACATATCGAGGCTTTGCCCAGGGTCACTTAGCTAGTAAGAGTAGAGCTAGAGTTTGAACCCAGAGAACCTGGGTGCTGAATTTCGTCCTGAAGGAGCCAGGAGCTCAGCCCAGAGGAGGAAAAGCAGTGAGGCTGGAGGGGAGAGGGTTAGTACAGGACCCCAGGTTACAGGACTGGGGAGGGGCCTCAGAAGGCTCCTTCTGACCCTGCAGTCACCTGGTGGGCCTCATCAAACCAGGCACCTTGAACTCTAACTGTACCCTGGCCTCACCAGGGGACACTGATGAGAAGAATTCTGTAGCCATCTTAACTGTCCAGCCAAGGGTCCCTGCTGCTCCAGATGTTTCAGCAAAGGCTGGACAATTACTCAAGGGAATGTCATAAAGGGATTTCTGTAATCCCTCAGTGTACTTGCAAAATCAGGCAGGAATGATTCGGGACTGTTTATTGTTTTGATATCCTCTGTCTCCCTCCCCTCCCCATCCCTCCCCTTCCCTCTCCACTTCTCTCCTCTCCATTCCTCTTTGCTTCTCTTTTCTCTGCTCCTCTCCTTCCCCCTTCCCTCTCTTCTCCTTTCCTCTCCTCTCCATCCAACTCCAACCTAATTCGATAATCCTACCTCAGTGAACTTCTAAGCTGCAATTATTTTCATCCTGACCCAAACCTGCTCTTACCGTCATTATCCTTGGAGCCCGCTGAACCCTCCAGCATCCCAGCACACACCACAATGATGCCTCTCTTCTCCCGGAGGCCTTATAAGCCTTCCTTAGGTAAAGCTGTGAAGTATTTTGAGAAACTGGAATTAAAGTGCTGGAGAAAGCACAATGCACATTTATTACTCATCCTGGAAAGACTACAGAAATGAGCTTCCAAAACTGGCTCTGACGAACATAATCTGGGGGTAATGAATATGGATATTGCCAATAGTCACTGAGAAGCATGTTTTCCCTTGTACTTTTTGTTCTCTCTGGTTAGATTTCCAACCTAAAGAGAAGATGCCCTGAGCCCGTGCTTGTATCAGTAAAGCAAGTGCTCAGAAGGAAAGACAGAGTCAGGGAGGAATCCTCCGCCTCTCTACTTTAGTTCTACTTGAGTTCTCTTCACCACGGTTCTTGTCTAGTCAATAGAAACCATCACCTCTCCACCAAGTCTGGTTCATTTCTCAGTGTCCTTTTGAAAGTGTGTGATGAGGGCTGGTCTGGACAAGTATCCCAGAGGGTGTCTCTAGGCAGCACAGCCTCTGTAATCACTGTCAGGAGAAATCAGCTGCCTAGTCACCCAGCTACCTGCCCAGGGAGAGAAACGGGAAGGACCTGTCCGACTTGTGGCCCCGTGGGGGAAATGGCAGTGTGTGAGGGTTCTCCAGAGGAACAGAATCAATAGGATTATACAGATACAGATGAGGTGATTTGTTAGAGGCATTGGCTCCCATGATGTGGAAGCCAAGAAGTCCCACCACTAGCTCTCTGCAAGCTGGAGAACCAGGAAAGTCGGTGCTGTGATTCAGCCTGTCTGAAGGCCTGAGAATCAGGAGGGACTGGTGCTATAAGTTCCAGTCTGACTCCGAAAGGAACCAGGAGCACCAATGTCCAAGGAGAGGAGAAGATTGATGTCTTACACTCAAGCAGAACCAATGAACTCACCTTGCTCTGCCTTTTTGTTCTCAGTGGATTGAATGATAACCACCCATACCTGATGAGGACAGTCTTCTTAGTCTACCAACTCAAACACTAATCTCTTCCAGAGATAACCTCACACACACCCAAAATAATATTTTACCCACTGGTATTTCTAATCCCAGGCAGGTTGAAACATAAAAATCAATCATCACAAGCAATATCTGGTTTTCCACACCCAGCACTTCAGTCACAACTGGTGGTGGAGGGCAGTAGACCCCAACTCTGCCTTGCTAGAATCATCTGAGGGGCTTTAACAAGTCCCTATATCTAGATCAGTTAAGTTGGGGTTTCTGAGGTTGGGGCAGGCACCAGTGTTTGTGAAAGATTTCTGGGTAATTCCACCTTGCAGCCAGGATGGAGAACCACAGCCTCCCTCAGCAGGAGGAGCACACCTCCCTCACCTTTGTACATCCTGGGACTAACTTACCATCACACATGATTCCTCAGTTAACTTCACACAGCAGCTACAATGACCTTTTAAGAATATAAATCATATTGCCCTGGACAGTTTTGCTTAGTAGTTAGAGTGTCAACCTGTGAACCAAAGGGTTTTGGGTTTGATTCCAGGCTTCTGTGGGAGGCAACCAACTGATGTGTCTCTCTCACATCAATGTTTCTCTTTCACTCTCTCTCCTCCCTTCCCCCATCCTTTCCTTCCAAATCAATGGAAAAAATATCCTTGGATGAGGATTGACAAACAAACACAAAATAAAGAATATACATCACATCATGTCACTTGCCTGAATAAACCCCTCCAATGGCTTTTCACTGAATCTAGATTCAAGCCTCTCATCTTGGTTTGTGAGACCCTCAACAGTCTGATCCTCAGTCAGGAGAGCCAAGAGTGAGGACAGGAGCTCTGCAAGTGGACACCCCAGAGCCAAGTGCTTGCTCTGCCTTTATGGGCTGGGTGACTTCCGAGAAGTTACTGGACCTCTCCCTACCTTCACTGCCTCATCTATAAGGCAGTTATGTTAGCCAACACACATAAAGCTCTACATAGCATTTAGATCCTCCCCTTCCCCTGTCCAAGTCTCACTCAGTTCCCAGAACAGTCACTCTGGCTCTTCCCTGTGAACCCTTCCCCCCACCCCACCCCCCCCCCCCCCCCCGCAAGAAGAGTGACACCTGGCATGACTGGTTCCTTTTCATCACTCAAGACCCAATGCCATGACTGCAGAGACTCTGCACCTCTTTATCAACTTGTTTGATTTCCTTTGTAGCCTGTATTCGTTTGCTAAGGCTGCTGTTAAGAAAGTATCACAAGCTTGAACAACAGAATTTATTGTCTCACATTCTAGAGGCTGGAAGTCAGAGATCCAGGTGACAGCAGGGTTGGTTTCTTCCCAGGGCTGTGAGGAAGGATCTGTTCCATGGCTCTCTCCTAACTTCTGGTGGTTTTCCAGAAATCCTTGGTGTTCCTTGGCTTATAGATGTGTCACCCTGACCCTTATCTTCATCTTCACATCTTGTTCTCTCTCTGTGTGTGGCTTTGTGTTCAAATCTTTTTTTATAAGGACACCAGTCAAATTGGATTAGGTGCCCATCTTATGCCAGGATGACCTCATCTTAAACAATTACATCTGCAATGATTCTATTCCCAAGTAAGGTCGCATTCTGAGGTATGGGGGATTAGAGTCTCAACATATTCATTTAAGGGTATCACAATTCAACCCATAACATAGCCCCTATTCTTCTCTGGAACCATCTGGTTCTATTTGTCTACCTGTGTATTGTATTACCTTCTCTCCTCACTCAATTTCATTGTTTATATCGTGTGATTTTTCTGCAGGAAAAAAAAAGCCATGCTATGCTTTATAATAGGAACAAAAAGACTTTTCAGAAAAACAAACAAGCATATGACCACCTTTGCACTGTGATCTGGCTCTCCATCACTTCCCATTCTAGATGGGAAGCTCCATGACAACCGGTACTACATCTTCACACCCCTAAACCTAACACCACGCTTGACACATAATAGATGTTCATTATATGCTGGCTGAGTTGAAATTAAGCAGATAATACTGAATTTCCCCACAAGAGTGCAAGCAAAGCAGTTGTTCTTGCAGCTTCTCTGGTATAAATGTGACACATTTTCTAAAAATCTGAAAAAATAAATAAATAAAAGAATGCTGACACTCTAGGCTTTTAAATGACTCTAGCATATAAAGTAGCATTATCAAACTGTACTGATACATAAGGTATTGCTAAGAATTGAAGCACAACAAATCTAAAGAACAAAATAAACTGATGAACAAAATAGATCCAGAGACACAGAAACATGGAACAGTCTAATGAATCGCAGAGGAAAGGTGGGGGAGGAGGGAGGGATTGGAGGTGGGTGGCGGGGGAGAGATTAACCAAAGAATTTATATGAATATATGCATAACCCATGGACACAGACAATAGTGTGGTGAAGGCCAGGGATGGGCTAGAAGAGGTCATGGGTGGGGGGAGGGGGAGGAGAACATCTTTAATACTTTCAACAATAAAAATACATTTTTAAAAAGTTAATTAAAACACATCATTGAGCAATACTGTCAAGTCTAGGAGGAAATTTAACCAGTGTGCTAATCACCCAATTTCTGTAAACCATGTTTCACACAATTCTCCTTATTAGGTACTGTTTGAAGGCTGTAGAAACAGACAAGTGTTACATTAAGTACTAAGGAGTATTCACTAATATTAGTATATTACATGGGCTGGTACTTATAAATGTAAATATCCTAGACCTAGCAACACAGTACAATATTCAGCTATACTTTAAATTTTTCTTTATAGGATTTTATACCACTTCTGGCTTCCAAGAAAAATAGCTTCATATAATCTTTGCATTACCTAACTTGACAACACTTTTGAAATCATCTAATACAATAGTTTTATCAGACCCAACACCTCACTTTTGTGGTAAGTGTTTGGCCACACCCCTCTTTAATATCCAAAGCAAAATTCATAGATAACCTGACTGTATATAACATATTTCACTATGTAAACACTCAGGCATGTCCAAATGAAGTTGTCAGATGATTGCACCACATGAAAAAATACTACACATGGGCCAGTTCCAAATGGCAGGCTATTCCACATGTGCAGCATGGGAGAGGCAATACCATGATGACACTGCCAGGGGGCACTGGTGTTCTGAAATGGTGAAGAACTCTTAAATTCCCCAAACTAAAGAAATTATGATCTTCCTTCAATTTATTCTATAGTTGCCTTCCTGAAAATTTCAATGAACTTGTATATTAAAAGTGGCCTTCCCCCAAAATCTCATGTGTTTATATGTAAAACAAAGTTATATTTTAGATTCAGATCACCATAATCGGAATTTTCATCTACAAGCATGCCTGATGAGATATTCCGACACATTTAGCATCTGTGGGGCCCACCATCAAATTCCAGGACTGCTTCCCCATCCTTAGTCTTTGAGAGCAAAACAGTGTTCAAAACATTTTTCACTTGGTCAAGTGAAAACTTGGATTATGGTGTTCATCTGTAATAGTGGAACTATTGGTTACTTTAATTCATACATTGTCTGTATGAATAAGGATGGATAAATTAGAACCATACTCATTCATAATGTTAAAACAGAATAATTGTGAAATGTTTTACTAAACTTGATTTGTCTTTATTAGTATTTTCCTGGTTATTAGACTAATATGTGCTCCTTAAGAAATATATTTGAGTGTGTACAACACAAGAAACATTTTTATTTTATTTTATTTTATTTTATTTTATTTTATTTTATTTTATTTTATTTTATATTTGAAAGAAAGGTTCCAAAACAACCCCATGGAATGGCACTGGCCCTCTCGAGAGTCATAGGTCTAATTTTACATCCTTATGTAAAAAAAAAAAAAAAAAATGAGGATATTGTGCCCCCAAAGGATATGCCCCAAAATCACAGACCAAGTCTTGGCTAAGCCAAGAAGGGAAAAAATACTTAACGTTTGAACAAAGGAGCACATTTCATGTGCCAAGCATTGTCTTAAGCTTGGTTTAGACATGCTCTACCTTAATCTTCACATAATCGCTAGGCAGACTTTATTATCCACCTTGTACAGTTGAAACTCGAGTACAGAAAAGTGAAGCAACTTACACAAGGTCCCAGAGGAGTAAGTGGCAGTGCCTGACTCAAATCATGATCTTCCAAACAACTGGGCAACACAGTGCAGACTACAGACTGTCATTCAGGATTGAAGGGGATACAAGGGGGAATGAAGTCTTCCTACATATGAGTACACAGGATAGGCCAGCTCTCACAGCGTACATAGTATATGGACCTCCAACCATGCCTCCAAGCCATGGCTTATTTCCCACTGAGTCTCATCTTCTCTTTTCTTGTGTTCTTCCTGCAGACATTCATGCCCAGGAAAAGGCTGCTTTGGGTCCCACTGGACCTTTTCTAAAAAGAAGATCCCTGTGCACTAAATGACTTCCAAAAGCAGCCACTAAGGCTTCCAAAGCCCTCTTCCATCGGTTGACTTTCACCAGAACCCCTACTACTCAGGATGAGTGGCTTCCTCGCCGCCCTGGACCCCCGGCGGGTACAGTGGGGAGCTTCCTGGTATGCCATGCACTCCAGGATCCTGCGCACCAAACCAGTGGAGTCCATGCTGGAGGGAACAGGGGGCACCACAGCACATGGTACCAAGCTAGCCCAGGTGCTCACCACCGTGGACCTCATCTCACTTGGCGTTGGCAGCTGTGTGGGCACAGGGATGTACGTGGTTTCTGGCCTGGTGGCCAAGGAAATGGCAGGACCTGGTGTCATTGTGTCCTTCATCATTGCAGCTGTTGCGTCCATATTATCAGGTAAGGGACTTCATGAAACAAAAGGCCTGTGGAAAGCATGCTTGCAGACCTATGACAGTTCATCCCACGATTCTAGAGTATTTAGTGGTGAGATGTAGGAAATGACAGAGGAGTGGTCTTCATGCTTCCTTTGTGCCTGGACTGCCAGGAGTTCAGAGAAAAGTTTTGGTTCAAATGTAATAACTACCCTTTCCACTGATTTTTTTTTAATTGATTTTTTACATAGAGGAAGGGAGAGTGATAGAGAGCTAGAAACATCGATGAGAGAGAAACATCGACCAGCTGCCTCTTGCACACCCCCTACTGTGCCTGAACCTGGGACCTTTCAGTCTGCAGGCCGACTATCCACTGAGCCAAACCGATTTTGGCTTTTTTTAAAAAATATATATATTTTATTGATTTTTTACAAAGAGGAAGGGAGAGAAATACAAAGTTAGAAATATCGATGAGAGAGAAACACAGATCAGCTGCCTCCTACTGGGGATGTGCCCTCAACCAAGGTACATGCCCTTGACCGAGTCGAACCTGGGACCTTTCAGTCCGCAGGCTGATGCTCTATCCACTGAGCCAAACTGGTTTCAGCTCCACTGCTTTTTGATACAAATAGTTGTTCTGGTGCCAAACCATCTCCCAATTTTTTATTCCCTGTCATGTCCATTTGGAAGAGATGTTGGACCTTTTATAGGAGAGGGAAGTGAATTCAGCTAGGATATACGTTATAAACAAAGTATAGGAAGAGTGGCAAAATAAGTCAGTAAATCTGATATGATTAGGATTTGATGAACCTCACACTTGGTACTATGACTCCCAAGCAGGAGAAAACCAGGCTAGAAATACAAAGCCATTGGGAGACTCACAAATTCGTTTATTAAATCTAATAATTTTTTGATGGAGTCTTTCAGGTTTTTTATGTACAATATCATGTCATCTGCAAATAAGGACAGCTTTACTTCTTTTTTTCCAATTTGGATGCCTTTTATTTCTTCTTCTTGTCTAATTGCAATGGCTAATACTTCCAGTACTATGTTGAACAGGAGTGGTGAGAGCGGTCATCCCTGTCTTGTTCCTATTCTTAGGGGAAATGGTTTTAGTTTTTGCCCATTGAGTATGATGTTGGCTGTGGGTTTAACATATATGGCTTTTATTATGTTGAGGTATGATCCTTTTATTCCTACCAGTAGAGAATTTTTATCAAGAAAGAGTGTTAGATTTTGTCAAATGCTTTTTCTGCATCAATTGATATTACTATGTGACTTTTATCTCTCAATTTGCTTGTTATATATCATGTTTATTGATTTGCAGATATTGTACCATCCTTGCATTCCTGGGATAAATCCTACTTGGTCATAATGTATGATCTTTCTGATGTACTGCTGGATTCAATTTGTTAGAATTTTGTTGAGGATTTTGGCATCTGTGTTCATGAGGAATACTGGCCTGTAATTCTCTGTCATTGTGTTGTCTTTATCTGGTTTTGGTATTAGGGTGATGCTGGTTTCATAGAATGAACTTGGAAGCGTTCCTTCATTTTGAACTTTTTTTTTTAATAGTCTGAGGAGGATAGGTTTTAGTTCTTCCTTGAATGTTTGGTAAAACTCCCCTGTGAAGCCATCTGGCCCCAGGCTTTTGTTTGCTGGAAGCTTTTTGATGACTGCTTCAATTTCTTCTATAGTTATTGGCCTATTGAGATTTTTAGATTCTTCCTTATTGAATTTTGGAAGGTTGTATTTTTCTAGGAATATGTTCATTTCCTCCAGGTTGTCCAGTTTGTTGGAATAGAGTTGTTAATAGTATTTTTTAACAATCCTTTGTATTTTGGTGGGGTCTGTTGTCATTTCTCCTCTTTCATTTCTAATTTTGTTTATTTGGGTCCTCTCTCTTTGCTTCTTGGTGAGTCTGACTAGAGGTTCATCAAGGTTGTTTATCCTTTCAAAGAACCAGCTCTTGGTTTTGTTGATCTTTTGTATTATGATTTTGGTCTCTATGTCATTTATCTCTGCTCTGATCTTTAGTATTTCATTTCTTCTGCTTACACTCTCTTTCTAACTCTTTGAGTTGTAAGGTTAGGTAATTTATTACCATTGTTTCTTGTTTCTTGTAGTAGATTTGTAGAGCTATGAACTTCTCTCTCAAGACTGTTTTTGCTGTTTCTCATAGATTTTGGATTGTTGTGTTTTCATTGTCTTTTATTGGCATGATTTTTTTTTTAATTTCTTCTCTGATCTCTCTGGTAACCCAGTCATTGTTCCATAGCATGCTATTTAGTCTCCATATGTTTGATTTTTTTGGATTGTTTTATTGTAGTAGATTTCTAGTTTTATGCCATTGTGATCTGAGAAGATGCTTCATAGGATTTCTATCTTCTTGAATTTGAAGAGACTTTGCCTATGATCCAATATATGGTCTATCTTTGAAAATGGCCCATGTTCACTTGAGAAGAATATATATTCTGTAGCTTTGGGTGAAATGTTCTGAAGATGTCAATTTTATCTGGTCTAGTGAATCATTTAGGATTGATGTTTCTTTGTTGACTTTTTTGTTTAGATGATTTGTCCAATGGTGATAGTGGGGTATTGAAGTCTATTACTATGATTGTATTGCTGTCACTTTCTCCCTTGATATCTTCCAGGAGTTTTTTGTTTGTTTGTTTGTTTGTTTTCTTTTTGTTTTTATGTATTTGGGTGCTCCTGTATTGAGTGTGTATAAATTTACCAGAGTTATTTCTTCTTATTGGATTGCTCCCTTTAGTATTACGAAGTGGCCTTCCTTATCTCGTTATTTCCTTCACTTTGAGATCTCATTTGTCAGATATAAATATTGCTACCCCAGCTTTTTTTCATTTCCATTCACCTGAAAAACTATATTATCACATTTAAAACTTATAATATCTCTTCAAGGTAGGTTTTATCATCTCCAGTTTTACATATGAAGAAATTGAAATTTAATAACAGAAAGCTAGATTCAAATTTGTTGTGCCAACAGTGTCTTTCAACCATGACTATGAATTTAAATCATTTGAATAATTTTTTTTTTTCTGAAACATGGACTGGGGAAAGGGGTGGTCAGCTTTATTTCCAGTTCTTTTTTCATATTATTAAAATTAAACCTCGAGCAGAATGTAGATATAATTGCCCCCTAAATTCATGCATTTGCTACAATAACCCTTCAAGCTATCTCAAATGTTTTTGGTAGAGATTAAATGAACAGTATGCATTCACAGCATTGGTCCCCATCCCAATGCAGAAAACCACTAATTTTTATCATAAGAAACAGTTGGCAAAAATAGAAAAAGAATTCAATAAAGATGTTTTGGGTATCCATCATATACCAGCCCTAGGGAACTACCAAAAATTAATAAGAAATTATGTCTACCCTAGAGGACCCATAGCTTATTGATGGAATGAACACCAAACCTGACAAGTAACCATGTCATAACGGTACTAATAACTGTAACAGTAGCAGCAACAGCTACCATTTATTGAGCACTTACTGCATACCAAAAGAGTTCTAAGTACTTAGCACATTATTTTATTTAATTCTCACAAAATCCCCATGTGATAATGGTGTTATTATCCTCCATTATAGATGAAAAATGGAGGCTTCTGAAAAGTTTGGTAACTTGTTTAAGACTACTGCTTAGGAGGTGGCAGAGCAAGGAACAGTGAAAGTAGCCTGAGCCCACCCCTTAATCACTTTGCTATTCCGCTACTGTATTAGCAGATTCAGATTAGGTTTAATTGCATACAGTGGAGAACTAAAAATTAGAGATAATTTCCCTTATCTTTTATGTAAAAGAAATCCGAAGGAAAGCTGCTGGTGTGGCCCCACAGTCCCAGGGACTCAGACTGTTTGATCCTTCTGCTCTACCATCCAGATGCTCGGCTTCCATTCTCTGAGTGCCCTCAAAATTCAACACAGACTAGAGCTCCAGTCAGTATGTCTGAGTTCCAGAAAGGAGAACAGAAAGTTGGGCCAGGTCACTTCTCACATTTCTGTCCCCTTTATAAGAATCTTTCTGATAAATTTTGTCCTGTAACTACTACTTACCTTGGCTAAAACCTGGACACTTCGCCATAGAAAGTGAGGCTGAGAAATGTAATCTTCTCATTATGTATATTGCCAACCCCAGTATTTCAGATGATCCTTTGATGGGGAAAGAAAGGAAAAGTAGTGTCATGCCAGATTTATAATGGATGCATAACCCTAAGCCTTCCAGTTTGCTGAGGTCAATTTGTCCTAAAATATTTAAGTAAAATTGGTTCTGATGCCCAGTAATGCACAAGAAAATCTATAGCCCTTTCAATAAAACTATGGAGTTGTGAGTCTTACTTTTCTCCCAGTTTTACAAGCCCCAAATCTTTGTTTTCATGGAATGTCTGTCTCCACTCTGCATTTCACTTCCTGATAACCCTTTCTACCTCTTTATCCAACTACATGACACCCCAACTCTTCCTCCCCCATGTATTATGAAGCAAAGTTGTATATACAGTGGATTTTATTGGAAGTTTGGGCCAGAGATGGGAGATATAATGCAATCCATTCCAGCAGACAGCAAGCTTATAATTGAATATAGGACATAACAATTCCACCAACCCTCTCTTCTTGGCTCCTGCCTCCAGCCCCATGGATGGGCAGCCTCTCTCCCTCAAACTCCTTAGCCTGCTTCCTGCCAAGCCCTAAGACTCTTGTCCATATCTTATCCAGAGAAGTTTGCTTATCTCTATCTCCCTCCAAGTTCATCCTGGCCATTTTTCAAAGACTATTGTCTCCCAAACAGAACAGTCCACCCAGATAATTTACTAAACAAAACAGGTTCTTAGAGGAAGAATTTGGGGGCCAAGCCAAGATTAGATATCATTCTGTAGGCACTGAGAAGCTCAGTGGTGTGACCAGATCTGTACTTTAGTAGCAGTGTGGAGAGAAGAGAGGTGGAGAAGAAACTGGTCATATGCATATTGTATGGAACAGGCAAGAGATTATGAAGCACTAGGCCCTAACAG